AAAAAAAAAAAAAAATAAAAAAAAAAAAAAAAAAAAAAGAAGCACAAATTTCCGGTTATAAAATAAACAAGTCACGGAGATGAAAAGTAGAGCCAAAACACAAACACATAAAAGGAACTGAGTATGGTCCCGGAGAATGCAGCCTTGGAAATACCAAGGACAGAGGTACACTTGGTTACATCCATGGTAAGATTCTCTGTTGAAGTTACTTTAAAGACTGCACCAGGGCGCCTGGGTGCCTCAATCGGTTAAGCATCTGACTCTTGGTTTCAGCTTAGGTCATGATCTCAGTTTGTGAGTTCGAGCCCTCCATCGGGCTCTGCACAGAGAGCATGGGACCTGCTTAGGATTCTCTCTCTCCCACTCTGTATCCGCCCCTCCTCTCTCTTAAAGTAAACATTAAAAAATAAATAAAAATAAAATAAAGACTACATCACTGGGCGATAAGGAGAGCCCACGAGTCATGGAGACACATCTAACAGAACTCCTGAGACAGTGGTGGTAGGCCAGGCTTGACATCTTTATAAAAGCATCTTCACATTCTAAAAAACATAAAGCTGTTTTAGGTAGTAGAGATGACAGAACGATAGACAATGAAAATTTTGCAAATCAGTAAAAAATGTAACAACTTTTTATGTGAGCATATATAAAATAATACATCTTAAAATAATACATCTATGATTTAAATAATCCAACTTCATATCTAAAATGAAGCTATCTGAGGGATGCTTGGGTGGCTCAGTCAGTTAAGTGTCTGACTTTGGCTCAGGTCATGATCTCATGATTTAGTTTGTGAGTGTGAGATCCGCGTCGGGCTCTGTGCTGACAGCTCAGGGCCTAGAGCTGCTTTGGATTCTGTGTCTCCCTCTCTCTCTGCCCCTCCCTCACTTGTGCCTCTCTCAAAAATAAATAAACTTAAAAAGAATAAAGCTTAATCTATCTGAATTGTCTCAGTAATAATCTAAGTAAAAGAACTTATAAGCCTGTTCACTGAAAATGTAAGCTTTGGTTGCAAACCTGGCCAAAACGAGCCATAGATCAAGGTGCATCAATGAGCATCAGGAAGAACAAACACTATTCTTAAATGAAGAAACATATGCAGATGGGGATACTCCATATAGATCACTAGAAGGTCCAGAAGGAGAATGAGAGCTGTGTCTCACAAGTCCCACAAGCATCTTGTTAACATGACAAAAATGGGGGAACAAGCCCGGGGTTTGACCCAGTACAGCAATACAGCAATTCCTAAGTATGTTTCTCTTCTCTGTTTTCAGCCCACGTCTCCATTCTGAAAAGTATATGTGAAAAAATGTCTGCATCATATGCCCATGTAGGTGTGTCCCACCAGCAGTTCTAAATTTCTGAACATGTGGTAAAGATGAAGGAAAACAGATTAAGCTATATTTAATTAAACCATATATGGAAATTCAGTATATACTATTGTTTTTACCTCTTTGATAGTTTATATAAGGTTTCAGAAACCATAAAGAAGGATCTCACTAACATTCTCAAGAGCCTGAGAGAGAAATAATACAGCAAGACTGTAATATCCTTCCAAGAAACAAGTAGAATTTGTTCTACTAAATTACTCTAGAACACATAAAAACTACCCTTTAAGTAAGTTGTGTTTTGAAGGATTCCAAGTCAGACAGTTCCACTAATTATGAACTTTCTCATGGAAGCCACATTACCCATGATTTTTAAGTTCCATATGACCTTTGGCATTAAAACTAAATAAGACAAGATAAATTTATCAGACTAACCTGGGATCTTAAGCAGCACTTAGAGCCTTGTTTCTGAGAGGAAACTCACTGTGACTATAAACTCTGAGTTCTAACTTGCATTGCCATGACAAAACCTCACCCCACCTTCCTTTCTCCGATACAGACACAGCATTGCTAAAGCAGAAGATCTGGACAAGCATGCCTGGTATCTCCACTGAGAAGTGAAGGACGACAGCACGGAGCACCCCCAGCAACAGCGGGGGGCCTCTCTCAGCACGAAGAAAGAGACACTCCAGCCACGAGAGCAGGAAAGAGGAGTCTTTAACTAGGGCAGGCAAGTAACGTAAGAATACACAGCTGAAGGCTGAGAACTGCCTACATTTCTCACATGAACCAGCATCTCTCGATAAAGAACACAAAATCATTTAGTGAGGTTTAACAGTATGAAAAGATGATCATTAAAAGAACAGATAGCAAGACTGTTCATCATTTTACAATAAACATGATTTTTCCAAACAATGCTCTATATTCTTTATGAGACAGACCGCCTGCTTACCAGTTCTGCTTCAGATCCAAATACCGAACGTTGACCCCTTCTTTAATAGCTTCGTAGTTACTCTCAGATCCCTACATGAAAACATCAACAACGTAAGCTCCTGGAGTGTAAGATTTTTCACCTTTGCATTCCCAGCATCTACTAAGCGGTTCAAATAGTTACTGAATAAATAAAAATAATGTGTGCATTTTAAAAATTATTAGGTAAATCAGTGAGCTCCACTATTTCTAGAGACTGAATGCGCCCCTTCTGTTTATCTGATGGCTAAAAACCGTGCATCACACTGCAATGTCATCTAATAAATAAAATAATTAAAGAAACTAGCTTTCTCATATAACCATAAATGTGAATTACAGAAATATTATTGTTCCTTACCCAAATAGCATCAGTAATGTTTTCCTTCAGAGCTCTGTTTATATCCCAACTATGTGCTTGTTTTTCTGAAGAATCATCTAATTCCCATTTACTGATGTTTGAACTTGTCAGGCTATAAAAACTTGCTCTCTCTCTATCCCAAAGGACACTTGAAAGCTGCATGGAGAGAAGAAAAGTTAAGTTTATAGATTTTTTTAGTTCTAATGTTAATGAACTATTTTTCTGAAATCTAAAGTTTATATATGAGTATTCTATTAGTAATTTTAGTGGAATTCTTCATTTAGGATTCAAAGAAAGGAGTGATCCTAAAATGGACCTTGAAAGCCAGGTAAGATTTTCACAGGCAAAAATATAAAAGCAGAGAGCATACAAAGAGCACAGTTGGGAGTTGGAAAGTTATAAGGTCTTTCAAAGAGCAACCAGTAGTCCTGAAATGAAATGAAATGAAAAATGAGGGACACAAACGGCATAGAGTCTTAAATGTGAGTTTGTAAATCTAGGAAGCAAGGGAGATATTCTCAGTGGCTTTTGAACTCATGAACTGTGTTATAGGAAAATGAATGTGGCAGGGATGTGTACAGTTAGTTACATGTAGGTAGATTATTTTGCCTTTTCAAGTATACAGTTGGTTATGAAGTATAGATGTGTTTTTTTAAGGTGGGCACACATGATTGTTTTCAGCTGACACCCTAATTTTTTCCATTTCTCTTGTCACCATGATTCTGGCCACTAATGGGATAAGGAGGCCAACAGTGAGTAAATTGAACTGGCACCAAGAGCTAGGGGAATTTAGCAAGAGTTTAGATTAGGGAATAAATTGGAAGCAAAAGATAGGGATGAAAATGAGACAAGATAGATGTCAAATCTATAGTATCTGGTAAGTAAGGAATTTGTTATAGCAGGAGATAGACACATATACACAATCAAGGTTTTATACTTGGGTAACTGAAAACAAGGACAGGGTCATGAACAGAAATAAACAGGTCAAAAGAAAAAGTAGTTTTATACACACTTTTGGTGTAGAAAATGAGAGAGAAGGAATATGAGCATTTGTTTTCAGACATGTTAGGTTTTAGGTTCGGAGACCATCAAGAAAGCAGATGGCGAGAACAAACGCGCAATTGGAAGGAAAGAGCACAGTAAAAAGAAAACGTGCTTTCTGTTCAAATGTGCCTGGGCACGGAGTTGTGTAACCTCTGGCAGTTTACATAATACCACTGAGGCCATATTCTCATCTGCCAACTGGGAGGAAGCGCTCTACATCGCAGGTGATCATAATAATTATCGAGCTAACAAACACAGAGCACTAGCAGAGAGCGGATGCTCCATAAATGTTAGCTCCCATCCGCCTCCCTTCACTGGTCTAGAGCCTGAGGCAGAAGCCCAGCCAACAGACCTGGATTTGAGTCATCCACACAAACAGCTGCAGTAACGGGAGTGAACACACTTTCAGTTAAGTCTAAGAAGCAAACCTGGACCTTAAACACATTTATAATTTTACATAACAGTTTTAATTCAAGGAACATACTTTTAAAAGAATGTAGGGTTTATTTAAGAATGCTAGAGTCCCAGTGTCTGTGAGAGGGTTACTTTGGTATCTCATTTGATCACAATAAATATGCATCACTGAAAAGATCAAAGGTTTTATTGGATATACACTAGTGTTCATACAGAGGCAATACCAACTTCATAGGAAACTTCCAACTTACTGATTCCATTAGAAACAGGCTTGTAAAACAAAGTTATTTCATCAACTTACGATGAGATCAGTACTTGGAGACAAAATTCCCAAAAGAGAAGAAACCTTGCGACCAATTCCTGAAAGCATGCCTTGTCCTTGAGGCAGGATATGTTGATGAATCTTGCCTAAACTTTCAGGTATCAGTCGAATCAGCTGGCTTCCTGACGAGGACAAAATAAAACTTTCTCCCTATGAACAAATATTGTGAAATTCATTCAGTTAAGCATCTATAACTAAGATAAAGAACATTCATAAAAAATGCTTTGATACAGAGATAAATTATCTATCATCTGTCCCTTAAAACAAATCTAAAAGAGTGGCGCCTGGGTGGCTCAGTTGGTTAAGCGTCTGACTTTGGCTCAGGTCATGATCTTGTGGGTTCGACCCCGCATTGGGTTCTGTGCTGGCAGTTCAGAGCCTGGAGCCTGTTTCAAATTCAGTGTCTCCCTCTCTCTCTGTTCCACCCTCACACATGCTCTGTCTCGGTCTCAAAAATAAACTATTAAAAAAAAAAAAAAACTAAAAAAAAAAAAATCTAAAAGAATAAGAAAGGAAAATGTTACTAAAGTGATTTACTTATGAATCCATTCACATACTACTATTAACTCTACATATAAAACCTCTAGTTGCAATTCTGTTTTTCTAATTGCGTGTCTTTATTCTGATTTTTAAATTACAGGCTCATCACATTACAGGTTCAACAAATCAAGTACTGCATTTTATTCTTTGGTAAACCTGCAGAGTGTACTTTAGCAAGCCAGTCTTCATAATACCTAAGGGTTTCTAAGTCACTGTCAGAAAATGTTTCTGAAAGAAATGAATACCACAGGCTACTATCCAATACTGGTATCCAAGTCCTAGTAGAAGGGCTTTCCTTTGTCCAACTGTTGAAATCCCAGACCCTTACATTCTTCTCTTGGCTCTTCAATCCCTCTATGGCCCGTATGGTCTATTTAAAAGCCTGTTACATTAGTCATTCACATCTCACTTCCCAGTCAAATAACAGCCTTCCAATAAATACAGAAGAATATCTATCGCATACCTGCACTGCTGTTAGGAAACTGTAAGTCTTATCACCTCCCAAATCTACGAAGGTCTCTGTGTAGATGTCTTCACTGGCAAGGCTTGGCCAATAGCGGATGGATCCTTCTCTGGTGGCAACCATGACAGCAATGGCCTTGAAACAAGAGCATAACTCAGCAATCATAATAAAGAGAAAGACCCTGAAACTAGCAATTTGGTGACACTGATAAAAAGAAAACAGGGCAATTTATTATTTGATTAACAGAAATTACAGGGAAAAAAAACCACTGCTTTTTTGTATTTTAAATATTACCATACTATCAAATTGACTTTCTTTTCCTTTTGTTGTGCAGTTCTATAAATTTTAACACACGTATAGACCCATCTAACTACCACCACTATAACGATACAGCACAGTTCCATTAACACACAAAACTCCTAGTGCTCTCTACCCCTTTCTGATCACCTATCAGATCTCCTATCCTAACCCTGGCAACCACTCCACTGCTTCCATCCTTAGAGTTTCATCTGAATGTAACATTTAAGCACTGGCTGACCTCCAAGTCTCTGAGATACATCCAGGGTGTTACTTGTATCAAGAGTTCATTCCTTTTTACTGCTGAGTAGTATTCCATCCTGTGGATGAACCCATCTGTTTATTCATTCACTTGGGTGAACCCACGTGGGTGGGTTGTTTCCACCTTTGGCTATCAGAAATAATGAGATATGAATGCCGTAACATTCATGTACCGTCTTCTGTGTAAACATAAATTTTAATTTCTCTGAGGTCAAAAGCCAAGAATGGAACTGTTGGGTCATAACAGCAAGTGTATTTTAACTTCATTAGAAAGGGAAAATCTAGTAGTCGCACCATTTGGCATTCCCGTCAGCAATGCAGGACTTCCAGTTGCTCTACATCCTTGTCAGCACTTGCTAGTTCAAGTACTTTGTACTGTAGCCTCTGTAATAGGTAGTATTGTGATAGCTCACTCTTGTTTTAATTTGCATTTCTCTAACAGCTAATGATGTGAACACCTCTGTGACAGCCTTAGCTCCTCTTTGGTAAAGTGTTCAAGTCCTGTGCCCTGTTTTTAAACTGGGTTGTTTGTTTTCTTATTATGCTTTGAGTTTGTTTTACATTCTAGATAGATATCCTATGTTGGCTATATGACTTAGAAAGATTCTCTCCCAGTCTGTAGCCTGTCTCTTCATTTTCTTGTGTCTCCAACACCAAATTTTTAATTTTGATGAAGTCCAATTTATCTATTTTTCTCTTTTGTGAATCATGCTTTTGGTGATTTCTAAAAACTCTTTTTCTAATCCCACATCATGACTTTCTCCCATTTTCTTCTAAATATCTTATATTTAGTGTTTTACATCTAGACCTATGATCCATTTTGAGTTAATATTTGTATGAGGTATGAGGGATGGTATTTGTTTTTTTTTGTTTTTTTTGCATAAGGATGACCAATGGTCCTAGCACCATTTACTGAAAAGACAATCCTTACTTCATTGAAATGCTACCACACCTCTGTCAAAGATCAAAGGGGCATCTCTTTGTACATCTGTATCTGTACGCTCTGTTCTGTTCAATTGCCCTTAGGTGTCTATCTCTTTGCCAATACTATGTCTTGATTCCTATAGCTTTATAGTTATGTCTCTGAATCAACTTGGATAATTCCTCCAATGTTACAACTCCCTTGTTTAAAAGGAATATATATATATATTTCAATAAGCATTTACATCACCTACCTGAGTAGAATGTGCTTCACCTGAGGTAGCAGAGTAAGAGAGAGCCACCAAGTCAGCACTCCAGTGGAAGTCACTAGGTGGCAGCTGAAGCTCTTTGCAAACAGATAACTGAAGAACAAACCCAAACAAACAAACAAAAATCTTCAACATCAAATCCAATTTTTTGGATATGTACCCGAATTCACGATTTCCTTTCTCTGAACATTTCATAATCTGATTCATTGCTGGAAATATCATTCTACAAACATACTTTTTGCTCACATCTTTTTGATCAGGTTTTCTTCAGGCATTTCAGTAATTTTATTTTTTTAAATTTCCCTTTCAATGTTCTATTTATTTCTGAGAGAGACAGAGAGACACAGTGTGAGCAGGGGAGGGTCAGAGAGAGAGGGAGACACAGAATCCGAAGCAGTCTCCAGGCACTGAGCTAGCTGTCAGCACAGAGCCTGACATGGGGCTCGAACCCACAAACCGCGAGACCATGACCTGAGCTGAAGTCGGACGCTCAACTGACTGAGTCACCCAGGCACCCCAGGCATTTCAGTAATCTTAAAACAAAATATTTTAAGAGACATAGAATCCGATAAACCTAAAAGCTAGACTGGACTCTGATTATCAACTAGCCCAATATCTTTCCAGACTGTCATACTTCGCTTAAAGACGTAGGCTTCCTATGGAATTTTCCCAGTCTAGTCTTGATTTATTTGACATCTACAATCAGTATGACTACAGTGCAATTAATTATACCAAGTTGAGCAGAAAATATTTCTTCACCTCAGACAAATATCAGGCTCCTTCTGCTAACTCTTCATGGGCCCCAGGACTTTCCTTCACCTATGCTATTAATTATAAATACTATTTTCTAGGCAGAAGTACAAAGGCCCACAGACATGAAGAGTTTAAGTAAGTAAGAGCCCCAGTTCCAACAGAACAATAGCCCAGTAACAGTGACCAGTGAGTGGCTGCAAAGGAGTATGCCTCCTCTGGAACAGACAGGAAAATAGGTTGCTGAGGATAAGTTCCTAGAAACATGAATGATAACCCCATGTGAGAAACTGACAACCGAGAAGTTAAACTAGCAATTGCTAAAACTGGTATCATTTTTTTCCTATTAAACATCATTCAGTAGATTCAATAAAACGTAGTCCTATCTTAGAAACATATAAACTGAGAGGCGCCAAGGTGGCTCAGTCAGTTAGGCATCACACTCTTGACATCAGCGCAGATCATGACACCAGGATCATGGGATTGAGGCCAGCATCAATCACGTGGGATTGAACTCCATGCTCAGCACAGAGCCTCGCTCTCTCTCTCAAAAACAAAAACAAAAAATTAAAAAAAGAAATAAGCTCAGTTCATTAGTTTATCTGGGTAGCATTTATTCTTCATTAGGCAGACTGATATGACATTCATAACATTCACTAAAAATTTTAATAACGTAGATCTTGTTTAAAATTATTAAAGGGGAGAAACTTTTTCTCCCCAACACAAAAATGTGTATGTACGCTCAGTAATTCATACCACTACGAAAATGCAAATGTAATGAGTAAATTCAGACTGCTGTCCTCCAAGAACTCTAAAAATTTAGACTAAAAATTAAGAGCCACTTGTAATCCTCTCCTCTATCTCCTTCTAGGTCTCTAAAAAGCCATTACCTTAGTAATAGGTGACAGAGCAATCTTCCAAATAATGAGTTTCTCTTTGCAGACCAGACAAGCCCATCCACCTTCATCTATGTGAACAGTCAGCTGATCATCAACTGAAAAAAAAAAAGTACATAATGTACATATTTAACCTTAAAGAATGAGTAAGAAAAAGTGTAAGGAAAAAAAAGGACAAAGAAGTAAAGAAAAACTGTTAAAATTCCTTATACCAAGGTCTTCTTTATGGATTCATTCTTTATAAAAGATAAAAAAAGATAAAAAAAAGATTCATTCATATCAAAAACCGCTTTTGAGTAATTCAAGAGTTAGAGTTATTAATATTCAAAACAAGAGAGCCATTTAACTTTGATAACCACTTTTAGAAACGTATCTGAAGGTAAAAGTATATTTTGGGGTTAGGTTTACTATCTTTTAATATTGGCTATAAACAAGAATCTTACTTTCTATAATATTTAGTAACATTTGTAATTTTATTTTGATACAGAAACGCAAATGACCTCCCCCATTAAATATATAAAAAATTTCGAGGAAAGAGTATTCCTTCAAAAGAACATGATTTTCAAGTACTTTCTTTAAAGTATGATAAATCACTTCATTATATGCAGACATCAGAGGTTACATCACCATATTAAACGACAAAACTAAATTAGTATATTGCTGTCAAAAGCACTGGTAGTAAACATCAGTTAAGTGTGTTAGCCCTGGAAACTTCATTAATTTGAGCTCTGCTCTTTGCCTAAAGCAGGGTAGAAGGGCAAAATAAGAGGCATCAACAATGTACAAACTAAAATACTAAATCATGCCTAGGTTAGGTGTGGGCTTTTTGCTGAATTAGAATATCTGCTCAGTATTTTCATTTCCTGAAAGCAAAATAGCAGCTCCAAATACTGGTAAGCCCATGAGGTAGGTTTTTCCATATCTGGAAAAGTTCTTCAAGTTTAGACACCCTTACATTTACACATCCTGATTTCTAGGGACTCTCCTCTAAGGCTATGTACTCTTTGTTATTAACAGTCTGGTGGCATGAACTAGGAGTATGTTAAAAAGTTTAAATACAATTTGAACTGAAACTTTTAGAGGACTGAAGAAAATATAATATACACTACAGATAATTAAAACAAAAATAGTACATGATAGAGGTTACAGTGGAAGTTTAGTTGTCCAAAAACCACTGTACCTAGGTTCCCAAGGACTCGCAGGCAAGATATGTAAGTTCAGGTTGATGAGAAACAGTCCTTCTTCTACAATGGAGTACTTTAAACTTATTTGACTGTCATTCACAATATAAAATACATTTTATATCATGATGCATTCACATATAATTTAAATAAAACAAAAGGTATGTAACACTATTACATAAAATGCACTCTGATGTTTTCCTTTCAATTATAAAAAAAATTTTTTTTTAATGTTTTATTTATTTCTGGAGAGAGAGAAACAGCATGAACAGGGGAGGGGCAGAGAGAGAGGGAGACACAGAATCTGAAACAGGCTCCAGGCTCTGAGCTAGCTATCAGCACAGAGCCCAACGCGGGGCTCAAACCTATGAACTGTGAGATTATGACCTGAGCCAAAGTAGGATGCTTAACCAACTGAGCCACACAGGCGCCCCTGCTTTCAATTTTTTAAAGTGCTGTCCATGAACCACTAAACTGGTTTCAGTCACTACATGCAGTTTGAAAAACACTGTTTCCAAAAATCACAGAAATCTAGAATTGAATCATAAACAAAAACGACCTGGGTAGATCACTGAGGATGCTGTGAACTTTGCTCCTCCAGTCACCCAACCCCTTCTCCTTACTGTTGCCTTTCTGATGCTTGTGACTGCATCTTCCAAACTTCCACTCTAATTCTCTGCCAACAGAATCTTCTAAAGGTACTTTACACTGATAACATAAATGTGTACATATAGCCTCTGCAATTCTACACAGGATCTAGAAATGGCGGTAAGACTTGATCTTACTGCATTATTATACCCATAACATGAGGCAGTGGTTTCTTATTTTAAGCTAAGCTTCACACATGCAATCAAATTTTGTAATTGGACTGAGTTTTGCTTATGCAGCATTTACAGCCACTGAAGAAGTAATTTGTGCTAAAAATGAACTCGTTCTGCTTCTAAAATTTATTATATTTTGCAATTACAGGGAAAACCAAATGTTACCTGTTTCTACCCCCATTTAAGTGAAGGTATACCAGAGAAAACACAAATTTCAATCTCAGACCCAGAGACAGGCTTCATTTTGAATTGCTAATATAAACAAATAGAAAATGACACCCACCTTCAGACAATGTTAGGGCTTCCATTACTTTAACAGGGAGAGAAGATCCAAATGTTTTCACATCATAGTTCATAGACTCCGTTACACAGTGGTGTGGCAGTATTCGTGTGGGTGTTCCTCTGAAGAAAAGAGACCATACTAGTTGAACCGTAATTTAAAATTTTGTTATGCTAATTTTTATGTACATATTTTCACATAAAGAAAAGATCTTAACAAGAAAAAAGAGGAGTTGTAGCAGTAAAAAAAACAACAAAAAAACTTCTGGCTTGGGGCACCTGGATGGCTCAGTCAGTTAAGTGGTTAAGCATCTGACTTCAGCTCAGGTCATGATTCACAGTCCTTGGGTTCAAGCCCTGCATCGGGCTCTGTGCTGACAGCTCAGAGCCTGGAGCCTACTTCGGATTCTGTGTCTCCCTCTCTGTCTGCCCCTCCCTTGCTCATGCTTTATCTCTGTCTCTTTCAAAAATAAACATCAAAAAAAAAAAAAAAACCCAAAACAAAAAAACTCTTGCTCATGTGTACTATAAAAATATATTTTTCATTAAAAAAACAGACTGATGGGATATAGGAAAACTTGGCTTCTGACTCTCATGCTCTAGTAATCAGGTGCATGCTCTGTTCACTTAAACTCTTTATAACCGCTTCCTTAGCTGTGTAATACAAAGTTTGGACTAGATCAGCATTTTCCAAATTGTGGGTCACTGTGAGGGTCTCAATTAACATTTCTGAAAAATAAAATAAAATATAAAAAATAGAGTTTATCCTACACTGTGGTCAAAAAAGTTTTACATACATTGGATTAGATTATCTTTAAGCTCACATCAGCTCTAGAATTTTTTTTAATGTTTCTTTTTGAGAGAGAGGGATGTTTCTTAATGTTTTTTTTTAATTTTTTTTTAATGTTTTTTATTTATTTCTAGGAGAGAGAAAGACAGCGTGAGCAGGGGAGGGTCAGAGAGAGAGGGAGTCACAGACTGAAACAGGCTCCAGGCTCTGAGCTGGCAGTCAGCACAGAGCCCCACGCGGGGCTCGAACCCACGAACCGCGAGATCATGACCTAAGCGAAAGTCGGACGCTCAACCGACTAAGCCACCCAGGCGCCCCTCTTAATGTTTATTTTTGAGCGCGTGCACCAGTGGGGGAGGGCTGATATAGAGGGAGACACAGAATCCAAAGCAGGCTTCAGACTCCAAGCTGTCAGCACAGAGCCTGACTCGGGGCGTGAACTCACAGACCATGAGATCATGACCTGAGCTGAGGTCAGACGCTTAGCCGACTGAGCAGCCAGGTGCCCCTAGAATTTTTTAATTGAAGTGTAGTTGACACACAGTGCTACTTTAGTTCCAGATGTACAACCTGGTGATTTGAAACTATGTTATGCTCACAAGGACAGATACCATCTGTCACCATGCAACCCTATTACAATACTGTTGACTACATTTCCTAGGCTGTACTTTTCATCCCCGTTATTTACACATTTCATAACTGGAGGCTGTACCTCTCACTCCCTTTTCACCCATTTTGCCCTCGTGAGCCCTAGAATTATATGAAATCTACCAGATTTATATAACCAAGAAATTAAATAGGGTCATGAGTATCTGCTATTACCTGTTCTTCAATAGCAGATACAGTGTAGAAATTATATCTCCTTTTCACCTTGTTAACATTCAAAAAAATAAAGTTACCAGTATAAAATTTATTCCATCTCTTATCATGAGGATTAAGTGAGCTTTGTTTCTTGACAGAGTATTACAACAAAGATTTTTCTTTAAAGGATCACTGGAAAGTAAAAAGAGATTTAAAACAAAACACACATTAAATAAAGTACAGCTTTACTTTTCTCAAAAGGAGTAGAAAACACTGACAAGATCACCACGGTGAAGAGCACTTTCAAAGGGTAAAAGTCAAAGACACAGTGTAGTCTTTAAAATCATGTCTCCTTTGGGGCACCTGGGTGGCTCAGCCAGTTAAGCAACAGACTCTTGATTTCTATTCAGGTCATGATCTCATGGGTGGGGAGTTCGAGCCCCACATGGGGTTCCGAGATGACAGTGTGGAGCCTTGGGATTCTCTCTCTCTGCCCCACCCGTGCACACTCACTCTCTCTCTCAAAATAAGTAAAATAAACTTAAAAAAAATTAAAAATCATTTTTCCTTTAAAGTATTGCAGACATTTACAGACAAATTTGAACTATTAGCTCCAAATTCAATATTAAACTTTTCTTGCAAAGGAAAATTCTTTTTTGGTAGTTGAATTCGGAGGAAACTACTCAGAAACATATTACCTTCTAAAGTTCTAGATTAATTATGAAAGGGGGGTGAGGAGCATGGTTTAAGGGATGATGTGGACTGACGTGCCACATGTTTATTTGGGAACAAAACCACTATTTTTTTAAATTTTTTAATGTTTATTTATTTTTGAGAAAGTGTGTGCATGAGCAGGGGAGGGGCAGAGAGAGAGGGAGACCAGAATGTGAAGCAGGCTCCAGGCTCTAGCTGTCAGCACAGAGCCGGACATGGGGCTCCAACTCAGAAACTGAACCGTGAGATCATGACCTGAGCTGAAGTTGGACGCTTAACAGACTGGGCCACCCAGGTGCCCCAAAAGTAATGTTCTTATCTCACTGCTAGGAAAGACTTTCCCCTATTAATTTAGCTACAAAGGTAACCTCTCTTGCTAAAAGTCATGTAATTATCAATCAGCAGGTATTAATGGCAGTTAAGTATGTTAAGCATAACATGATTTTCCAGAATTGTAGATGCTAATTCCCACTGTCGTCGAGGGATTTTATACTGATTCATTCGGCCTTAAGAGAAGCAGGCTCAGGGCGAATATTATCGCCATTTCACAAATGAATCATGACTGACTTACACTGGAAGACAGGGTTAGTAAGGAGGCAGGTAACCACTGACTGAAATCCAATTTGTTCAGTTCTACACAGAGGTTAATTCCATGCAAAGTGCAAAGTGAAGGCCTAATTGATGAATTAAAGTGAAGCTGAAATAACTACTCGCAAAGATGGCGAAAGCCTATCTCCCCCAGCCTTTGGCATTCCTCCTCGCCCCCTCCTCCGCGTTCCTGAGGCTTTCTGAAGACACTACCCCATCAGGCCCACTGACGCCCGTAAGCCTACCGTTCACCAGACCCAACCGGGGACCATCGCTTACCGCGAGCTCAGCGAGCTACGACGGCCGACCGGCGAAAAGAGCGCCGGGGAGCTGACTGCAGACCCCAGGGAAAGACCTTTCCTGCTTGTCGCCCGGGGCGTGGAGCCCGGCCCGACTCCGGCCAGCGGGCCCCTTCGGGTCCCGGGCCCCGGTGTCCGCGGAGAGGAGACGGCCGGGAACATGACGGAAGGGAGAAGCGACAGATATTCCGCCTGTGAGACAGAGGCTCGACTCGCGCTCGGAGCTTGAACACCCGGGAGCGGGAGTGCGAGTGCGCGCGCCGATGACGTAAAAGGACGGCGCCGAGCCGCGGGGCGTGGTCGAGATGGCGGGGGAGGCCGCGCGGCCAGACGTCAAAGGGCAGCGCGGAGGCTCGGGGCGTGGTGGGGGCGGTCTGGGAGAGGGCGCGCCGTGATGACGTCAGAGGGCAGCGTCCGGCCTTGAGGCGTGATCCAAGAGGTGACTAGCGGAGGGTTCTAGGTTGCGGGCGGGTGTCCCCAGCCTCCGGGGAAGTGAAACTGAAAAGCCGGGTGGCCTTCTGGACTCTGGTGGGTGGGGCTAGCCCTCTAGCAGCCTGAACGCTAAGCCTCTCTGAACGCTGGTCTTTCTTGAGCCTCTTGGGAACTGGGAAGTGTCCGTCGCTGAGAAGGGAGAAAAACCGAAAAGCTGTCACTGGTTTCACACCCGATGTTGTCTTTGTTCTTCTCTAGGTTTGTCATTCCCCATTCAGGTCCGCACTGTCGCATCCACGCTAGTAACGCCCCAAGTCCCCCTCTGTCCCGGATCTTGCCCAAAAAACTGCAGGCTCCTGACATCTCCCCAGTGGACACCGTGTCCTGCGTGTCCTGCAGACTCCTCACAATACACCTGCTAAACACTGACTTCCTGTTTTCCTTTAGGACCCCTATCCTCCCACCTCTGCCCTACTTGGTAAAATTGGCCGGTTACTTAGGTCAAAAATAAGAGCTCTATCCTAGAGTCATTCTCCACACTCCCCGCCACTGCAACATCCTGGTACACTGTGGCTCCTGAGTCCGATCCACAGATGTCACCCTCCCGCAGTGTATAGTGGGGACCGCGAGTGAAACAGTAGATATTCAGGACTTATGCCTTAGGGCAGCGTACGTGGTTCTTTATCACTACCGAGAGTTCTATATTTTACTAGTGGCTGCCATTTCCTAATTTAAAAAAAAAAATTACTTATCTTTTGACCTCATTTTAAATAGTATAGTCTCAGGGCGCCTGAGTGGCCCATTCGGTTGGGCAGCCGACTTCGGCTCAGGTCATGATGTCGCGGTCCGCGATTTCGAGCACCGCGTCGGGCTCTGTGCTGACAGCTCAGAGCCTGGAGCCTGCTTCGGATTCTGTGATTCCCTCTCTCTCTGCCCGTCACCTGCTCAAGCTCTCTATCTCTCTCTGTCTCAAAAATAAAGTAAACGTTAAAAATTTTTTAAAAAAAGTATAGTCTCTCCTACGGGAAATCTAGAAGAAAGGGAGCATAGTGCAGTGGCCCTCACACTCAAGCGTGCATCATCACCTGGAGGGCTTGTTAAACAGCATTGTTGCCCACCCACAGTGTCTGAGTCCTAGGTCTGGGCTAAGGCTTGAGTGTTCGCATTTCCAACAAGTTTCCAGGTGTTGGTGATGCTGCTGTCTGGGGACATTCTGATAACCGCTGGTGTGGTAACTGAGTGTGTAGACTCGAATTAAATGGGACTTGCTTCAAATCTCACCTCTGCTATTTGCTATCTGTGTCACCTTTTTAAAGCCTCTGTTAAATTACTAATAGTACTCAATTGTGAGAATTAGATAATGTAGATGTGACCATATTTGTGGATGTCAAAAAACACAAACATCGTGAGAGCAAACAAGCTGCAGAAAAACAGCATTTCCAATAAAACACTACTCTTTAAAGAAAATCACCAACATAATAATGGTGATAATATTAAAATGGAAAGGCAGGAAAACAATGGAGAATTCATCATGAGAATTATCCACGCCCAGTCATTCTCAGGGTATTCATTTAATTGCCGTCTAATGCCAATGGAACTTTTTGAGATAATGCTACATTTCATTGCAGTTTTAACGTCCTTTGAGTGGGGAAGAACCCATGTTGTTTTCGTTAGTTCTGCAGTCAGCAAACTGTCAAGGGCCGGAGAGCATCTGTTTGTAGGCCGTATGGTCTGTTGCAACTGCTCACAAGTGTGGCTGTGGTCCGATAGAACTCTATTTATGGACACTGAAATTTGAACTTCATAGAACTTTGATGTGTTATGAAAGATTTTTCTCTTTATTTTTTTTAAACCACTTAAAACTGTAAAAAACCATCCTCAGCTTATAGGCCATACAAATCAGGCAGCAGGTTCCATTTTGCTGACCCACAGATTAGTTTCACGAGAGAGGCACAGATCCTTTATTAGCATAGGACCTAACAAAATAGAGGATGATCAAGGTCTGTTGGATGACCTGAGTGAAGAGATTACCATGATGCCTCAGATGTAAAAATCACGTAGAAGAACATCCCCAAAGGAACATTTACAGTATAGTTTTCACATACTTCTTTCATTAATATACTTAATGTTTTGTAACATTGACATTTGTTTTATTTTTGAGCCACTGTGGCATTTTTATGGAATAAAATGGATTTCCCCAAACAGTCCTAATTTACAAAAATGTATTTAAAGAGTTTAGCCTGTAATAGTTTATTTAGGTTGTGATTATTCTCTGAGAACCAGTCAGGTCTGAGGTCAGAGAAGCCCTCGCACATAGAGATGAGCCTGAGAGGGTGGACGACAAAATGTTAAGCCCATTGACGTGAAATTTTATCTTCACGTGTAGAATTTCAGGCAATTCAAATGTTCTTTTTTGCTTATTTTCTCAATTTCCACTATGAATGTACACATCCTTCAATGGCTCTCCATGCATGTAGCATGAAAACTTGATTTTTCAGCATGATGTTGAAGGTCCCCTATGATCTGCTCCTATTTCTCTAATCTCTTCTTGTATACAGCATCAATGCTGAATTAATTACAACTTGCCTATTCTTATTTCCTCTTCTGAGAAAGGGGAATGACAGGCATTTATTTAAATTATAGGACCGTCAAAGTACCAAACATGGTAACAGGTGCAAACACTCTGGAAACAAAGTGGTACGAACCACAGTATTCGCAACAACACCTCTGTGATATTTAGCTATTTTCTTGTAATTAATTTTTATCTGCCTTATCTCTCCTTCTAAATAGAAGCCCCTTAAAGGGCAGGGACACATCTGTCATCAACTCCACAGCACAATTCTTTGTCCATGGTAGGGGCAGGGGATACTTATTTATTGCATTGAAGCAACTAATTACAGTGTTTATGTAGGGGTACTGATGATACTGGCTACATTTTTGCCCTCCATCTTGTGCATGTTTGCTCAATCACCTCCCTTGTGTTCCAGGCCCCTTGAGGATTAATATACATACCTTAGAAATGACTGTCAAGGCTGGGAGGGAGGGCTTGAGGCTTGCTTTGGCCTCCCATAAATCTGTTAGAGATAACATAGTCTTTACCCTGCCTGATGCATGGATGATGCCACGAGATCTAATTAAAGGTTAGCTGTCAGTTAAGTGCATGCAAGCCCTTTGATCTCACTACAGTGCCTTCCCCACCCATGAGTCCCCTTGCCCTATAAGCAAGGGCTCTGGACTTGGTGGAGAATATTTGTGCAGCTACCTGGATGATAACCCGAACGACCTGAATAAAACTCTGTGTAAACTGAATGGAGTTACCTGCTTCGTTTTCCAGTCTCTAAATGCCGTCTCAGTTTGGAGAATACTTTACCGTCCCTCCCTCACCTTCTAACAGTTTATAAGTAGTAAAAAAAAAAAAAAAAAAAAAAAAAGGATATTAATAATCTTAGGTAAGGAGGAAATGATGGGAACTTGTAATCACTACTCACTTTATTTGTAATGTCAGGTTTTTTTATTCCCAAATCTCCATAGCCAAATTCTAGTGAGAAACTAAATGTAATAAAATTCTATAAGAAATGACAGACACAGATAAAGTTCACTATAAATTTTAATCCAGGATATAAAGTGTTCCCTAAAGACATGATTGAACATTTTATATTAGAAAATAAAACATAATGATCAAATACAGTTTTGTAAATACTTTTATGGCACAAAGAGATTTCCCTCAGATCCAACCCTGTAATTGTGTTTTGTCTGCTTTCTGAGAACCACATTGTATTAGCAAATTGTATAAAGAATGCAAGAAAAGCTTGTTAAAATGATTGTCACAAATATACTGCTTCCTAATCCAAAGAACATGGAGTTCATTCATTCACTGAGTTCACACTATTCAATAGTAAACTCCCTTATGTAGAATGAAATATTCTGTGCTTATCATGAAATAGTGGTTTCTTCCAGTATAATAAATGAACTAATGAATACGTAGAACATGGGAAAACCTCTATTTTCATTACATCAACATACTTATTTCTTAGATTCTAGCATCATCAATGTAAAAAAAGCACTTTTTCTTATGACAAGAGCAAATTAACAGTACTGACTTGAAATATGGCAGATCTAATGGCTATCAGCATTGCATTAGGAATTCTGAAGCATTTGGGTGAATAAACTATAACCATAAATAAAAATGACTATTGTTCTCTTTTCAGAAGAGTGACAAGTTTTTTTTTAAATTTTTAAACATTTTTATTTATATCTGAGAGAGAGAGAGAGCATGAGCAGGGGAGGGTCAGAGAGAGAGGGAGACACAGAACCTGAAACAGGGTCCAGGCTCTGAGCTGTCAGCACAGAGCCCGACGCGGGGCTCGGACCCACGAACCGTGAGATCATGACCTGAGCTGAAGTCAGACGCTTAACCGACTGAGCCACCCAGGCGCCCCAAGAGTGACAAGTTCTTAAAGCTTCATGATGTTCTGCAGAATAGAAGGAACTATGTTTTCTTCAAATGTTTTAAGATTGAAAATTATTTAGGTTTTTGCCTCATTGAGTGAAATCCCAAAAGTATTTAAATAACTTATAAAAAGTAAAATTTGGTTAGGAATTATATATTCTTAAAAGATATTTTTCAAAATACATGACTTTGGACGACTTCATCGTAAAATTCATTTTTACCTCTTAATAATGCCTGGCAGTTCATGCCTCACTTCCCAAAGTAACAAATGCGTCAATAATGAAAATAGAAGTTTTCTTATTCAAAGGATGGGCTTATGGGCTTCTTAACCCTTTTAAAAACTCGTC